AAGAATAAAACTTAAGTTCAGCATTCAACGAATATATACTAATTATTATAAGAATCGTACTAATTTACTGTAATAAAATCCCTTTTATCAATAAAATTAAAATTATTTAATACCTATACTTTTAGATCAAAATGTGGTTCTTACTGAGACATTTTTTTTGCCAATGTAGTGTAAGAATTTATATTTTTAATTTTTGAGAATCAAATCTTAAAATAATGAAACACTAAATTTTCTTGCTTTACAAGACTATGTTCTTATGTTGGTACTGTTGACAGTCTACCGTTCTCACCTATGCAAATTATATATTATCATATGTCAATATTATAGTTTATTTTTATCTGCGTTTAATTTTAATTCCATTGCATAAAATAAAATTAGGGACTTTTCATCCCTAATCTGATCAATTTCAATGGGAAACCGTCTTGACATCGGTCGTAAATATATATACTAGTTACCAATACGCCTTGTTACGTTGTATAAATAATTCATTGAATATAAATCCGTTGATCGGTTATTCCAGGTGAAAAATTAATTTTCTATTGAGAACGTCTGACCCCCCCCCCCATAAGTCTAATACAGGTATAGTATATTATTTTCAAAGAGGGCACGAGATTAATAACAATACATAGATAATTATGTTTATCAAACATCTTGATTGAGATTCGTATACACTACTAATCCTTTCGGATAACGATTAGTCTTTACTTTTTGGTTAATAAATTGACATACTGAGTGGAATATATCGTTTTCTTATGTAAATAAAAAAATTAATAAATAACAAAACAATGGCCCATCCTATACACTCTAAATAATCTTTTTCTTGACAATTCTTAGAACAAAAAATTTCAACTGACATTGATTTGGCTATTATGAATCTGCTTGAAATAGAAGACATGGTAAGAAAATTAAAATGCTACCAATTACTGTAACTATTGGCGATAAATTATGATTGTATAAAGATCAATAGCACGAATTTATACGTGCCTTAATTGATGAACTAATATATTTTAGCGCTTTAAACAATGTAATTTTCACAAATACAATATAACGTCTACTATCGTGGGAAATGTCGTAAGTCAACCAAGAAAGACATACTTTCCACCAAAGGGTATATATCAACTATCGTTATTGGATTTATTGCTCGACCCGATACGTCGATATATAATTCAAACCTAATAAATATGAATTCTCAGTGGCAAACAATAAACAGCACATAAAAATTTCAAGCAAACCAATATAATGTACCGACAGGTTTATGAGTTTAACGGGGGGCTAACCAAGGGGGTTATCAAAATAATAATAATAATAATAATAATAATAACATTAACAACTAAATCGAACAAATGAAAAAAAAAACTGTCCGGCAATAAATATATCTTTATTATCGTATGAAATTCTATTTAGGATTTTATAAATAACCCCAATCAGATTAGCTCCATTGTCGGGGACAAAAAGGGTTACAATATATATATATATATATATATATATATATATATATATATATTGTGTCACATGCACACGGGGAGGTACAAGAAATTATAATAAAAAATAACCCAGATTTTATACAGATATATACAATATACGTACTACATTTTTCGAACATTCATTCATAGGGCTACCGAACAATATTCACAACCGTACTAAAATATTGGCTTTACGTACGGGTTCACGCCTATTCCTTTTTTATCGTTTATAGTATAATTTATATGTACCCAAAACTGGGCGGACATTTAATTCGTGGTACAGCCAATTTTAATTGTAGCAGACGCTATGTTAAACATATTTTGACGACCGATTGAATCCACTATAACACAATGACTTGATGCAAATTAGCCCTAATGCAGCTTTAACATCTCGCTTAAATATTATTATATAATCATAATCATAAATATTACAATACACGACCCTCCACAGTGCGCATGTACAAAACAAATAGTGACACATGTGCAATAACATCAAATCATTCCAATTAAATATCTATAATGTGTGAAAATGATCGTCATCATATTGTATGCTGATTATGGTAATTTTATAATGTGACTAAATAAATAAAAATCATAATATGTAATATTAAAGTATATTTTGCAAAAACTATATTAATTAATGCGTGGATTTATAAATATATAGCACAACAATTCTGTTTGCAGAATGATCTACTAATCGATATTTGAAGAGCGTTCATGTGGCTAGATATTATTATTCAAACATTATAGCTATAGTTGTTATAAAGTGCGTATTATTGATAGTTACACTTGAAATAGCTATACTATTACAATAGCTGCACAAGAAAACTCGATACCTCAAACACAATTAATCCTATTTATATTTTACTGTAAATCATATGCTATGTAGAATATAATTTGGTTCGGTGTATTGGGAAAACATTTTTCAGTACTTAAATCATAAGTATGAAGTTCACGCGATGAGAAAGAAACAGGAACAAGAGTTTAGAAACGAAATAATACAGATTGCAGTATTTCTGGCAATATTTTTTTTATTTTTATTTTTTATAAATAAAAAGACAAATTCTAAACGCCATAATATATTATTTTCTATTTGTTCCCGGAAGCAAAGTCAAGCAGTTTTCTGGTCACGGAATTTCGAGAGTGAAAAAATAAATGCATATTCAATATAATATATACATACATGGATACACATTTAAAACGGACCCTTTTTTTACCAGATTTACCCTATAAGAAGAGGGTTGAGTAAGTCAGAAGCGACGGAACAAAACACCATAGTACTTTATGTACCAATAAATAAAATGTAACGTCGCATAAACCAAAACCGAGACAGTATGTATACTGTCTATGTATATTGTATATTTATGTTTGTGTGTGTGTGTGTGTGCGTATACATTATTTACTAATACACACATACACAGTATCAACGGTAGTAGTTAAAGCAGCAGGTTGCTCTTATATACATTCTTTCCCTCAGGGTTTTACAGTAGTAGCAAAGCAGTATCTCTGCGTGCACATTGTATATATATGTGAATAACGTAATAAGTAAAAAGGGCTAAGGAAGCTGCTTCTGTGTATGACAAGCGTGATATTGCTATAGTTTTTTTTTGTCGTACTTTATCGTTTAAGGGCCAGGTCAGTGTCGCGCCCAAACAGTGGCAATTTCCTTCTTTTTTTTTTTGTTTCGAGTATGGGTTCTATATTATTATATTATAATAAAATATATATTTACGGGATCCGATAGTATAACGACCATCGGGCACACATGCTCGACGTATATGTATATAATGTAATCCATCGAAGGGTTAGTAGACGTCCCGCCGATTCGCCAAAGGCTTCTTCTTTTCAGAGAGAAAAAAAAGCATACACGACACGTAGTCGTGTTAAAACGTTATTCAATTGTACTCGACGGGACGAAAGAACAAAATGTGGACATTATTGTTTGGTTACTGATATTATATCCAAAAAGCCCGCAATATCTGACCATCTGGACTAAATTGGAAGCAAAGAAAACGAAACGATAACATAATACGGTAAAAAATGTATTTTATAGAACATACGTTTTTATTATATATACCAGTACATGAAGCGGAAAAAATTAAGATTTTCCGTTTTTTTTTTTTCCATTAACTTCACACCAAAATGATTTAATATATAATATTTAATATCCGTCGATAAGACCATTAATATTACGCAGAATTGAAATTACTCTTACATACATTTAAAATTTTTATTCTAACTAAACCAATAGAATATTTTAACGTTTTTGTAAAATAATAGCATTACCAAACATAAATATACATATATATATATATATTGTGTGAAAAATATTAAACCATGTTTAAAAAAATGTACAGAGCTTAAATGTAATCAAGCTTAAAATAATAACAAATACCATCATATTGATTAATACTAAAATCGAATCAATTATAGAACTCATTTATTTACAAACAAGTACATAAAAAAAAAAAAATTATGTAATTTTTAAAATCTTAAAATTCAAGATATTTATCTTTCAATTACGATAAACTATAAGGGACAATGTAATAACTAATAGTGTAAAAAAAATAATATTTATTCTTCTTAAAAACATTCAATTCGGATAGCTGTTAGTGGTGTGAAATAAATCCGGATTCTACAAAAATCCGAAAAATCCGGATTTCGGACTTTGAATTTACAGTTGTAAAATCTGGATTTCAGATTTTCAAATCCAAATTCCGAATTTTCGGGTTTCAAATCCGAATTTCGAATTTTCGGATTTGAAAATCCGAATATTTGGGTTTCACATTGTGGATTTCTGTATTCTAAAGCAAGTTTTCTGAACGTTGTTCATAATAATTTTTCAAACTTAAATTATTATATTTGTAATTAAGTATATATTTTTATTATTACTTGTACTTTTCTGTTAGTTAAAAAAAGTATATTTAGGTATTATTTATTGTGTCTTTTTGGATAAATTATTCTGATACTTATAAATGTTGTTACTAATTTCATGTATAAATTGAGTTTAGGTTGTAATATCTACACGTTATTGCAATATTGATAATTGCTGTTGTTGTTGTTATTATATTTTTGCCTTAAAAGTTTTTCTATAAATATATTAATTCATTAAAAAAAAAAAAAAATGTGTATTTATCAAGGCTTTAATATAAGGAATCCATAAAATATATTAATTCAATGTTTCAAAATTCAAAATCCGGATTTCGAGTAAAATCTGAATTTAAATTCCGAAATCCGGAATTTTCTCCGAATCCGGATTTTCGAACTTCGGTAAATCCGGATTTTTCACACCACTAATAGCTATCATATATTTGAACTAAATTTAAAGATCACATTAACTCAGTCTTTCTCAAAGTGGGCGATAGCGCCCCCTGTGGGCGTTGGTAGTCTTTTGGGGGGGCGGTAGGATGCCCGAAGAAATTTTGGGGACGTTGAGTTGGGTTTAGGGGGCAATACAAAAAAAATATATATATAAATATTATATTATATTAAAAAAAGTCTCATTTGTATATTTATACATAATAAACATACTTTTAGAATTGACCACAAATGAAGAAATCAAATTCAAATTTAAGAATAGCTATCAAGAATTTTGGCTGCAAAAGCCAATCATGGAACTGTACCCTAGTTTATGGTCGATTGTTCAACGATTTCTGATAGCATTCCCATCATCGTATTTGTATGAACGTGGATTAAGTGCTGTAGCAACACTGTTAACAAAAAAGAGAAATCAGTTGCTTGTTACTGAACGCGGTGATTTACGGCTGTTTTTGAGTAAATTTGAGCCAGATATTAACAAACTCGTTAATGCGCATCAAGTTCATCCATCACATTAAGTAAATTTTAAATTTTGAATTCACAACTTTTTTTATAGCATGATTTTAATAAAAATACTTTTAATATGAATAATTTTAACAATAAATGTTTCGTTTTAATAAAAATACTTTTAAGTACGAATAAGTATGCGTTTTAATTGCTGTCATCCAAAAAGCTAATTTAAAATTTATGTTAGAACTCAGAAATAAGATATAGCATATTTATATATTATAAATTTTAATATCTGTTTTTTAAAAGAAATAACAGATGGTAAGTTAAAATATTTTTTTTTGTGGGAGGGGGGGTGGAAAATTATTGATTCTCAAAGTGGGTGGTGGATGAAATAAGTTTGAGAACCTGTGCATTAACTCATGGCCTTACATGCAGTACGCACCGCAAAAAATCAAACAGAGTTACAAATTATATTTAAATTATGCACATTAAGTGAATTTTAAATAAACTCAACCATATTATCATACTATGCGAGCGCGCACGAATTGTTCAGATCATTGCAACGATTTAAAAAAAATGGTACTACACGTTGTACCATTTTTTTTAAATTGTTACATAAACGTGATGTACACTTTAAAATATAAATTTAAAAACAAAACAAAATCTGTTTGACTGTCTATTTTCATAACCTTGTAAATCGTGTGCTCAAATACACACTACATTTTATTGGTAACAAACATAAGTATACACGAAATACACACACACACACACACACACACACACACACACACACACACGCACACACGCACGCACGCACGCACGCACGCACGCATATATATACATACACATACAATAACAATCTATTATCTATAGGTACGTGTCTATCAAATTTCTGGACTTACATATTGTTATTATAACTATACTCGAACAGAAGTATACATAGTACCACTTGACAACAGCGCAACGCTAAACGTCTAACGTCAGCGAAATTCAGTGCGCGTTCAACAAATAGGTATACGTTGTAACAGTAATAATATAAACGAATATTGGTCTATTCTACTGTCATAATATCAAATTTCATTGTGCAACACTTCTTAAAAGTACATATAACAACATCTAGTTATAATAGGTGCGCGCGTAGAAAGTTGTATCTTTATTTGTATTATATTATGTTTGTTCTTCGCACTACACTTACAATAATTTGTATCGAATGTATGATAATAATATAATAATAAGAATAGGTAATGGAATACATTCGTTGCTGACAGAACTCATGGACGTCAGTTACCTGTATATATTTTGTTCACCGCAAAGTTTAAATATGACAGGACTATAAAATATTATAACAAACTATCATGACGTCTGAGTATTTTTTTATTTTTATTTCTAACAACTGTTAGGTATTATATATACTCGTGGGAATGTATATGAAAATTAATTAAACAGTGTCATCGTATTGTATAACAATTATTTTGAATTATAATTGTTGACAATGCGGACTAATTGTAATCGATTTGTTACATAAGTGCCAAATTATATAAACCAATATACCTCTACTCTACCTCTACCAATATATATATAGATAGTACCTACTATAATGGATGTGTGTGCGGATGTATGTATAAAATTTTATGTTATTGTTATGGTCCGCACAAGGGTTGATATCAATGCAGCAAAACCAGTCTTAAAATAACAAAAAAATCTTCTTGTGGTTCTTGAATTACTCATTCAGAAAAAATGAAAATAAAAAAAATACTCTTTTAAACTTGTTGAGCATGGCGTGGAATAATTTCGGTTTCTTTTCATACGCACATGCTGCAAAACCCATTTGTCTTCATTTACCGACAATTCTTACTGTTAATAAAGTGGTCCGACCATATGATATTGTGATGAATAAAGTCAAGGTCCTTGAAGACCCCATGAACCCTCTTCTTGAAACTAGTTTAAACCAGTTTCATGTATATCTGATTTGTTGTTGATGTTTTTGATCAAATACTACAACGACGTAACGTTAAGTCATTCTTGATATTTGTCATGTAACTACTACTAATCGTGTGTACATCAAGTAAAATTAAAATATGAAAAATGTAATTCTCAAATAGTTAAAAAAAAATGCTTTTATATAATTTTATTTCGTAAACATAAGACACAGTTTTATTATTATTTACTTACATTATATCACTATTAGTAATAATTAATAATTTATATTTTTGAAATATAAATAATCAGTAATTTTCTATTTTTTTATTAGAATACAAAAATATAATTATTTGAATTACCTACTTAAACCATTTGAAGTTTTAAGTTAAGAACATCAAATTCTGTGTCGAATGAATATTTTTTACCAAATTGTGCACAAAAAACAAACTTGACCCTATGATCTATTGTGTTGGAAAATAACATATTTCGTCCATTAGGTCGTGTCGAGAGAGTTTTTAAAGAATTTATTACTAAAAATTCGCTACGTTTTCCGTGGATAAAAAACACTATTGTGTGATGCGGTCAGTTTTGAGGTCCATTAAGCAGCTACCCCGGGTGGATATTTGACATTGACAAAATATCGAGCTCTACATTTAAGTGTTCCGACAGGATATAAGCGTTAAAAATGTAATTTAAAAGACTATATTTAGGTATCAATGTTCCATCGTCACGATAACACAATTTGTTAAACTACAACATCGAAACCCGGTAGCATGTTGTTACAAAAAATTTTATGTTCGGTGTAGTTGGTGTACATTTTATTTATTTTTTGCACATAACTGGGTTTACGCGGATACGAACACACGCAAGGGTCGGAAATCCATTAGGAGACAATAGATTAGAGTTATTCCGATCATGATAAAGCGACGCTCTTTGAAAATATATAACTATTGGATCGGTCGGTGGGCCGGAGATGATATTATTTCCTTGACTTATGTACGTATATTTTTTTAAAGTCCTATTATTATATACGTACTGATTTGAAACGCATGTGCTTAACGTATTATACAACATATTTATATAACAAGATATTTTTTTAGTAGTTTAATTTTGAAAAGAAGTTATTTCCGGTGGTCGAGATGCTCAAAATGTTTAATACATTTTTATTCCACAATAAAACCGAGCAAGTTACGCGTGTTGTCTATTACATTCTTAAGTATAGGTACACATAGATTTACGCCATCTGTGTATATGTTTATCGTTTTCTTTACGTGTTTCGTGTTAATGTTTTTACAGTTCTAAGACATTATTCAAATTAAAAACTTGATACGCTTAAGTTTATTCGTCCGGTTAGGCATACTGACAACGGCTTGTTTTTAATCCATCTCTGTATTGACAAAAGAGATTAATGCTATAGAATGACCGGTCGATATCGTCTTGCAGGATGTCACATCGGTAATAGAAGAAAATATTATATTTAATCCTTTTACGCAACGCGTAATCCTCCGTGACTTAAATATCATTGAATAAATAGAGTTTAAACTGCTTAAAACCCTCAACTGTTATAAGAACGTTAAATATGTTACGGAACATTCGATATGCCAATTTAAATTGTTTTTAATGAAATTTTAACCGAAATTATGAACGTATAAGAACGTGTTAGCTCAAATAGTTTGAAATATAAATACGATTTTTATAATAATATTCAAATACTGTTTACCATTAATAATTTATATGTAATTTTAAAAAATATATACTCAGTGACAACTACTGACGTAATTTTACAGTTTTATATTCAATATATATTAAAATAAGTATCAATAATTCAAGTTAAATAAATAAATAAAAGACTAATTTTTAAAGTACGACTAGTTTCGAATTAAAAATTCATCGTCAGATACACACAAAGTCAAAAAATTTACTTTTTCTTTTATTTTTCATATTCAGATTTTATTGAATTTTATATTATACGAGTCGTACTTTATAAATTTAATAATACTTCAGGCTAAAATTTTATTTATTTGTTTATTTCTATATAATAATAATAATAATGTATTTATTGTTATAAAATCAATAAACAACAAACACGCAAAGAGGTAGGAATACAGTAATATTTATAAGAAAATATGTATTAACTAAGGAATGAAATTATGCATTAATTATTTACATTATAAATATAATTTTTTAACGTTGAAATTTTTTATTTGATTGCACATCGTTGGTAGGCGACACACCGGACTATAAGTGAAATAATTTTGTTTTGTTTGAAGTATAGCAATAAGAAGATTATGTCTAGAATTGAAGGAGGATATTTTAAGACCAATTTTATGTAATAATTCAGAACAGTCTATTTCTCCACTCAATAATTTGTACATAAAAGTGGCTTCAAAAACTAACCGTCTAGTTTTCAATGAATTTAAATTAATAAAGTTTGTAATCACATACATATTATGGTTAAATAATTTGGTTTTATAAGCATACAAACAAACAAAGTTTCTTTGGACCTTATCTAGTTTACCAATTAAATGTGTTTGGTAAGGATTCCATAATGTTGTACCGAATTCTAGTAATGATCTTACTAGTGAACGATATTATACTTTAAAACATAAGGGGTCATTAAAATCATAGTATGTACGTTTGATGAATCCTAAAACACGAAAATTTTTTTTATACATTTTAATTATATGCGCATTAAAGGATAAATCAGCTGATAGGGTTATGTCTAGATCTTGAACTTAATTAACAGTATGGAGGGAGACGACATTAATACAGTAAATTGAATCAATATGAGATTTAGAGCGGTTGAATGAAATGTGAACACATTTAGAGGTATTAAGAGACATACCATTTAATGAGCATCACAATGAAAATTGATCAAAACCATGTTATGGGGAAATGGTATCGTTAGTAAAGCGGATATATCCTATAAACATGAATATTTTCATATCATCCACGAATAATAGAAATGTACAATTGTTAAGATATTTATTTAGGTCATTTATAAATAACAGGAAGAGCAGTGGGTATAAATGCCCTACTTGTGGAATTTCAAATGTAACATTTATAATATTGGAAATCGAAACAACGACTTTTAATTAATGAAGATAAGCATGAAAATAATTGATCTCTTAAACCAAGTTTATGTGAT